GTGCATGGGGGCATTGTCATGCTGAAACAGGAAAGGGCCTTCCCCAAACTGTTGCCACAAAGTTGGAAGCACAGAATCGTCTAGAATATCATTGTATGCTGTAGCGTTAAGATTTATTTTCACTGGAACTAAGGGGCCTAGGCCGAACCATGAAAAACTGCCCCAGACCATTATTCCTCCTCCACCAAACTTTACAGTTGGCACTATGCATTGTGGCGGGTTGCGTTCTCCTGGCATCCGCCAAACCCATATTCATCCGTTGGACTGCCAGATGGTGAAGCATGATTCATCACTCCAGAGAACGCTTTTCTACTGCTCCAGAGACCGATGGCGGTGAGCTTTACGCTTTGGCATTGCGCATGGTGATTTTAGGCTTGTGTGCGGCTGCTCGGGCCATGGAAATACATTTCATGAAGCTCCCAACGAACAGTTATTGTGCTGACGTTGCTTCCAGAGGCAGTTTGAAACTCGGCTGAAATAGCCGAAATCCACTCATTTGAAGGGGTGTCCACATACTTCTGTAAATGTAGTGTATATTCAATGTCTGATGTGTTATTGTTACCCATCTACCAATCACTGCCCTTCTTTATGAGGCTTTCGGAAAGCTCCCTGGTCTGTGTAGTTGAATCTGTGCTTGAAATGCGATACTTGACTGAGGGACCTTACAGATATTGTAGGTATTGGGGACAGAGGAAAGGTTAGTCATTAACAAATTATCATTTTACATTTACATTTTAGTCATTTAGCAGATGCTCTTATCCAGAGCGACTTACAGTTAGTGAATACATATTTGTTTCATACTGGCCCCCCGTGGGAAACGAACACACAACCCTGGCGTTGCAAACGCCATGCTCTATCAACTGAGCTACATCCCTGCCGGCCATTCCCTCCCCTACCCTGGACGACGCTGGGCCAATTGTGCGCCGCCCATGAGTCTCCCGGTCGCGGCCGGCTGCGACAGAGCCTGGATTCGAACCAGGATCTCTAGTGGCACAGTTAGCACTGCGATGCAGAGCCTTAGACCACTGCGCCACTCAGGAGACTTTATGTCAACCCCTATTATTTCACACAGAGTGAATCCATGTAACTTATGATGTGATTTGTTAAGTCACATTTTACTCCTGAACTAATTTAGGCCTAAACAAAGGGGGTGAATACTTATGGAACGACTATATTTTAGTTATCTAATTTTTTATTAATCTTTAAAATAAAATAAATAATTTTCCTTCCACTTTGGCATTACAGAATATTTTGAGTAGATCGTTGACAAATAAATGGCAATTAAATATATTTTAATCCCACTTTGTAACACAATACAATGTGAAGAAATCCAAGGGGTATGAATACTTTTGAAAGTAATTAGCGCCCTATGGGCCCTGTTTAAAAGTAGTGAATCCCATCCCCTGTCCCTGGCCTTGACTCCAGTATCAAACCATCCATTATTAATTAGATAGATGTAGTGATGGGCATTGGGCACCTGGTCTGCTCGGTTTAGTCCTCACCTGTTCTAATGCTGGTGAATAGAACTATACCTGTTCTAAAGCTGGTGAATATAACTATACCTGTTCTAATGCTGGTGAATAGAACTAGACCTGTTCTAAAGCTGATTAATAGAACTATACCTGTTCTAATGCTGGTGAATAGAACTAGACCTGTTCTAAAGCTGGTGAATATAACTATACCTGTTCTAATGCTGGTGAATAGAACTATACCTGTTCTAAAGCTGATTAATAGAACTATACCTGTTCTAATGCTGGTGAATAGAACTAGACCTGTTCTAAAGCTGGTGAATAGAACTATACCTGTTCTAATGCTGGTGAATAGAACTAGACCTGTTCTAATGCTGGTGAATAGAACTAGACCTGTTCTAATGCTGATTAATAGAACTAGACCTGTTCTAATGCTGATTAATAGAACTATACCTGTTCTAATGCTGGTGAATAGAACTATACCTGTTCTAATGCTGGTGAATAGAACTATACCTGTTCTAATGCTGGTGAATAGAACTATACCTGTTCTAATGTTGATTAATAGAACTATACCTGTTCTAATGCTGGTGAATAGAACTAGACCTGTTCTAATGCTGATTAATAGAACTAGACCTGTTCTAATGCTGATTAATAGAACTAGACCTGTTCTAATGCTGATTAATAGAACTATACCTGTTCTAATGCTGGTGAATAGAACTAGACCTGTTCTAAAGCTGGTGAATAGAACTATACCTGTTCTAATGCTGGTGAATAGAACTATACCTGTTCTAATGCTGGTGAATAGAACTATACCTGTTCTAATGTTGATTAATAGAACTATACCTGTTCTAATGTTGACTAATAGAACTATACCTGTTCTAATGTTGATATACCTGTTCTAATGTTGACTAATAGAACTATACCTGTTCTAATGTTGATGAATAGAACTAGACCTGTTCTAAAGCTGGTGAATAGAACTAGACCTGTTCTAATGCTGGTGAATAGAACTAGACCTGTTCTAATGCTGGTGAATAGAACTAGACCTGTTCTAAAGATGGTGAATAGAACTAGACCTGTTCTAATGCTGGTGAATAGAACTAGACCTGTTCTAATGCTGGTGAATAGAACTAGTTAATAGAACTAGACCCTGTTCTAATGCTGATTAATAGAACTAGACCTGTTCTATATGCTGGTGAATAGAACTAGACTGTTCTAATGCTGATGAATAGAAACTAGACTGTTCTAATGCTGGTGAATAGAATGACCTGTTATAATGCTGGTGAATAGAACTAGACTGTCTAATGTGACTAATAGAACTATACCTGTTCTAAAGTTGATTAATAGAAACTATAACCTGTTCTAATGCTGGTGAATAGAACTAGACCTGTTCTAATGCTGATTAAATAGAACTATACCTGTTCTAATGCTGTGAATAGAAACTAGACCTGTTCTAAAGCTGGTGAATATAACTATACCTGTTCTAATGCTGGTGAATAGCACTATACCTGTTCTTAATGTTGATTAATCCGAAACTATTTACCTGTTCTAAAGCTGATATTAATAAGAACTATACCTGGTCTAATTGCTGGTGAATAGAAACTAGGACCTGTTATTAAAGCTGGTGAATAGAACTATACCTGTTCTAATGCTGGTGAATAGAACTATACCTGTTCTAATGTTGATTAATAGAACTATACCTGTTATAATGTTGACTAATAGAACTATACCTGTTCTAATGTTGATATACCTGTTCTAATGTTGACTAATAGAACTATACCTGTTCTAATGTTGATTAATAGAACTAGACCTGTTCTAAAGCTGGTGAATAGAACTAGACCTGTTCTAATGCTGGTGAATAGAACTATACCTGTTCTAATGCTGATGAATAGAACTATACCTGTTCTAATGCTGGTGAATAGAACTATACCTGTTCTAATGCTGATTAATAGAACTATACCTGTTCTAAAGCTGGTGAATAGAACTAGACCTGTTCTAATGCTGGTGAATAGAACTAGACCTGTTCTAATGTTGATTAATAGAACTATACCTGTTCTAATGTTGATTAGTAGAAATAGACCTGTTCTAATGTTGATTAATATAACTATACCTGTTCTAATGTTGATTAATAGAACTAGACCTGTTCTAAAGCTGATTATAGAACTATACCTGTTCTAATGTTGATTTAATAGAACAGACCTGTTCTAAAAGTGATTATTAGACTAGACCTGTTCTAAGGTCTTGATTAATAAAAACTATACATGTTCATAATGTGATTAATAGAACTAGACCTGTTATAATGTTGATTAATAGAACTAGACCTGTTCTAATGCTGGGATCGTTCTAAAGCTGATTAATAGAACTATACCTGTTCTAATGTTGATTAATAGAACTAGACCTGTTCTAAAGCTGATTCATAGAACTAGACCTGTTCTAATGTTGATTAATAGAACTATACATGTCATAATGTTGCTTAATAGAACTAGACCTGTTATAATGTTGATGAATAGAACTAGACCTGTCTATAAAGTGAGTATAAGAACTATTACCTGTTCTCTAATGTTGATTAATAGAACTATACCTGTTATACTGCTGTGGAATAGAACTTAGACCTGTTCTAATGCTGATTAATTAGAACTATACCTGTTCTAATGCTGATGAATATAACTATACCTGTTCTAATGCTGATGAATAGAACTATACCTGCCTCAGCCTGCCTGGCTTACTAGGTTAACATGATCACGGTAGGACGAATATACCTTTTATTGTGTGGATTGGTTTAGTTTACTAAACTGTACTCTATTCCATGAGTTCTTTTGGTGATTGATCTACGTCTGGAAATGACACAGTTTTCTCTAAATGATGTGGTGTGACTGTGGTAGGCCTGTACTTTCCCATGTTTACTTAAAAGGGATAGTGTGAGATTAACTCATGGATACCATTTATGTCTCTGTAAGCAGTTTGAAGGTAGTTGAACTTCAGTGGAGGCTGGTGGGAGGAGCTATAGGACGACGGGCTCATTGTAATCGGGCTCATTGTAATGGCTGGAATGGAATAGATGGAACGTTATCAAACAAATGGGAACCACATGTTTGACTCCATTCCAAATATTCCATTCCAGCCATTACAATGAGCCCGTCCTCCTATAGCTTCTCCCACCAGCTTCCTCTATTGAATTTGAAGGTACATTATCGTTAGCGTAGCGCAACGACTGGAAGTCTTCAGGATCAACTAGCCAGCTCCTCTCAAAAGCAGGGAAAAAGACCTACGTACCCAAAGCAGGGAAATAGACCTACGTACCCAAAGCAGGGAAATAGACCTACGTACCCAAAGCAGGGAAATAGACCTACGTACCCAAAGCAGGGAAATAGACCTACGTACCCAAAGCAGGGAAATAGACCTACGTACCCAAAGCAGGGAAATAGACCTACGTACCCAAAGCAGGGAAATAGACCTACGTACCCAAAGCAGGGAAATAGACCTACGTACCCAAAGCAGGGAAATAGACCTACGTACCCAAAGCAGGGAAATAGACCTACGTACCCAAAGCAGGGAAATAGACCTACGTACCCAAAGCAGGGAAATAGACCTACGTACCCAAAGCAGGGAAATAGACCTACGTACCCAAAGCAGGGAAATAGACATACGTACCCAAAGCAGGGAAATAGACCTACGTACCCAAAGCAGGGAAATAGACCTACGTACCCAAAGCAGGGTGGTCGGCACTTTGTACTGTTTTCAAAGCAGTTAGTTTTAAAAACTGTTTTTCTGCGGCATTTCATTGATCCGCCGTGACGGTGGGGCGCAGGGATAGGCTGTGTGCGACCGCTCAAGGTATCACAGCTGGCCAGCTGAGGCAGAAACCATATTAAGAACTGACACTTTCATTTCTTAAAAGGTCAGCGGAATGTTCCAGAGCATCAAAACCGTGATGCGTCGTGGGTAAATTGCGACTGACTGACTGTATAAATAATACAGAGGAGTTATTGATGATACGAGGTGATCTGTAGATCAGTCGGGTCTCCACTAGCCCTTTAAAGCCTGCTGCAGATGTGGAACGCGCCCATTGAGATGAATGAGATGCAACACTTGGTGGTCAGCTCGCGGTCACAAGTCGCAACAACAAACGGATGCACGATGCGTGAAGCGCTTTGGATAAAGGTCTGCTAATGCATATGCTTTGCTCTCACACAGTCACACACCGGACCCGGCTCCACAAGGGGGCTAAATGGGGCTTAGCCCCCCTCAGTTGATACTTGTGCCCCCTCAGTTTTAGTTGTATGTCCCTATAGGAAAATATTTGAGTGACAGATTGGCAGGGAAATCTGTATCTCCGCTGCACTGTGTGTGTAGCATGGACAGAGCCCGCGCCGCGGAGTGTGTGGTGTGTAGGGGGCTATGGAAAGCCACTGGGCGGTTAGGTATGACTCCTTTGGGTTTCCATAAAAAAGCGGGTAAAGTAGTAGTGGTAGGCTCCGTGAATAACGAGAGACATCTCTGCTTGTAATATTTGATTTTGACGGGGTCAAGTTTACATTTACATTTAAGTCATTTAGCAGACGCTCTTATCCAGAGCGACTTACAATTACTGGTACCTTATTATTTGTATTATTCATACTGGACCCCCGTGGGAATCGAACCCACAACCCTGGCGTTGCAAATGCCATGCTCTACCAACTGAGCTACATCCCTGCCGGCCATTCCCTCCCCTACCCTGGACGACGCTGGGCCAATTGTGCGCCGCCCCATGGGTCTCCCGGACAGATTTGAACCAGGATCTCTAGTGGCACAGCTAGCACTGCGATGCAGTGCCTTAGACCAGTGGTCTACAGTTGAAGCTGTAGTTGAAGTTTACAGTTGAAGCTGCTTCACTCATCTCTGCCTCACGCCCCCAACCACTACAGAGTTTAGCTAGCTAGCTGTGAAATGCGTTAGTAGTGTTGTTAGGCTATTTAGCTCGAACCGGCTAAAACGTTCATTTAATAGCAACTGGTTCATAGGAATAGAGTGGGCTGGAATACTCTGCTACTGCAGGGGCTGCATTTTGGTTCCCCGTGGTTAAAAGTTCTGTGTCGCGTCCAATGCTAACGCAGTCAAGGCCTTCACCCAAGGCGGCTATTCTTTTATTTATTTTTATTATTATTATTATTTTTTTTTTTTTTTTTGTCATTTAGCAGACGCTCTTATCCAGAGCGACTTACAGGAGCAATTAGGGTTAAGTGCCTTGCTCAAGGGCACATCGACAGATTTTTCACCTAGTCGGCTCGGGGATTAGTACCAGCGACCTTTCGGTTACTGGCACTATGCTCTTAACCACTAAGCTACCTGCCGCCCTATATTCTAACTGGAAGCATGCTATTGATAGAACCAAAGGATTCACTAGGCATCATCAAGCAAAGAGCGTTTGAAATGCACTGCACTGTGGGTAGAAAAACAAGTTGTATTCGGCTGCGTTCACATAGGCTGTTTGTAATAGGTGATTTACCCCATCATACAGTATATATACAAAAGGATGTGGACACCCCAAATTAGTGGATTCGGCTATTTCAGCCACACCCCGTTGCTGACAGGTGTATAAAATAGAGCACACAGCCATGCAATCTCCATAGACAAAACATTGGCAGTAGAATGGCCTTACTGAAGAGCTCAGTGACTTTCAACGTGGCACCGTCATAGGATCCCACCTTTCCAACAAGTCAGTTCGTCAAATGTCTGCCCTGCTAGAGCTGCCCCCGGTCAACTGTAAGTGTTGTTATTGTGAAGTGGAAACGTTAAGGAGCAACAACGGCTCAGCCACGAAGTGGTAGGCCACACAAGCCCACAGAACTGGACCGCCAGGTGCTGAAGCGCGTAGCGAGTAAAAATAGTCTGTCCTCGGTTGCAACACTCACTACCGAGTTCCAAACTACCTCTGGAAGCAACGTCAGCTCAATAACTGTTTGTCGGGAGCTTCATGAAATGGGTTTCCATGGCCGAGCAGCCGCACACAAGCCTAAGATCACCATGCGCAATGTTAAGCGCCAGCTGGAGTGGTGTAAAGCTCACCGCCATTGGACTCTGGAGCAGTGGAAACTGTTCTCTGGAGTGATGAATCACGCTTCACCATCTGGCAGTCCGACGGACAAATCTGGGTTTGGCGGATGCCAGGAGAACGCTACCTGCCCCAATGCATAGTGCCAACTGTAAAGTTTGGTGGAGGATAAATAATGTTCTAGGGCTGTTTTTCATTAGTTCATGTGAAGATAAATCTAAACGCAACAGCATACAATGCAATTCTAGATGATTCTGTGCTTCCAACTTTGTGGCAACAGTTTGGGGAAGGCCCTTTGCTGTTTCAGCATGACAGTGCCCCGTGCACAAAGCGAGGTCCATACAGAAATGGTTTGTCGAGATCAGTGTGGAAGAACTTGACTGGCCTGCACAGAGCCCTGACCTCAACCCCATCGAACACCTTTGGGATGAATTGAAACGGCGACTGCGAGCCAGGCCTGATCGCCCAACATCAGTGCCCGACCTCACTAAAGCTCTTGTGGCTGAATGGAAGCAAGTCCCCACAGCAATGTTCCAACATCTAGTGGAAAGCCTTCCCAGAAGAGTGGAGGCTGTTATAGCAGCAAAGGGGGGGACCAACTCCATATAAATCCCCATGATTTTGGAATGAGATGTTCAACAAGCAGGTGTCCACAGACCTTTTGGTCAGGTAGTGTGTCTTGTAGCCTATATTCATTACCAAATAGGTCCTGCTTTACTCTGTAGTATCCATGGTGCTGATGCAGAGGAGATGGGTTACAACCTGTCACTTCAAAATCACTCAATGGTCTCGGAGTCTCTGCATTTGAAATGTGTTTATTGTGGTGTAGCAGAATTCAATGTAATTCCAATGAAAGAAACTCCCCAAAATGGTGCCCCCCCTCACGGATTTCAACTGCCCCCTTAAGTCACTTTATCCTGGCGCCAGGTCTGACACACACATTTGGGCTTGTTTGACATTACAGGCGACTGCCGACTGACGGAGCTACAAAGAACCTTGCATCTTAAATAACTACTCATTGTTATTTGTAGATCAGTCAGTCAGTCACAATTGACCCCATGATACATTACGGTTTTGATCGAACGTGGCCATTATTTGCGCATGTGCACGGGTTCCCTTCACGCTGTGTACAGCGTGGTAGCCAGGGGGGTTTCCACTAGTTACCACAGCCATAAAATTAAAATGGGCTATATCGTAAAACATTTTCAAAAAATGAGCTTTTTGGTCTTAAATTACGGTTAGGCATAAGGTAAGCAGTGTGGTTAAGGTTAGGTTGAAAATAACATTTTAAGAAGATCAATTGTAGAAATGGGCAGTGTTTATGACTTTGGCTGTGGTAACTAGTGACAACCAGGGGGCTCAAAACAGCGGAGAAGGTACATTTTACATTTTAGTCATTTAGCAGACGCTCTTATCCAGAGCGACTTACAAGTTAGTGAGTGCATACATTTTCATACTGGCCCCCCCGTGGGGAATTGAACCCACAACCCTGGCGTTGCGAACGCCACGCTCTACCAACTGAGCTACACGGGACTTAATAAGTTGCATTGAATTACTTTTATTTTTTCCAGAAGGAACTTTCCAGAAGGAACTTTAGTTTCGCGCTTCAATACTCTTAATTGTTGCGGAAATATACACTCAATGGCCCGTTTATTAGGTACACCCCATCTAGTACCGGGTCGGAACCAGGCGACGTTTTTCCACTCCTCAATTGTCCGGTGTTGGTGATGGCGTGCCCACTGGAGCCGCTTCTTCTTGTTTTTAGCTGATAGGAGTGGAACCCGGTGTGGTCGTCTGCTGCAGTAGCCCATCCGTGACAAGGATCGATGAGTTGTGCGTTCCGAGAATGCCGTTCTGCACCCCACTGTTGTACTGCATCGATATTTGCCTGTTTGTGGCCCGCCCGGTTAGCTTGCACGGTTCTTGCCATTCTCCTTGGACCATTCTCACCAACAAGCTGTTTTTCGCCCACAGGACTGCAGCTGACTGGATGTTTTTTGTTTGTCGCACCATTCTCGGTATACCCTAGACACTGTCGTGCGTGAAAAGCCCAGGAGGGTGGCCGTTTCTGGGATACTGGATCCGGCACACCTTGCAACCAACAAATTATACCATGCTCAAAGTCGCTTAGGTCACTCGTTTTGCCCATTCTAACGTTCAATCGAACAGTAACTGAATGCCTCGATGCCTGTCTGCCTGGTTTATAGAGCAAGCCAAGGCCACGTGACTCACTGTCTTCTTCTTCAGTGGGGTTTATCGGCGGTTGGCATCCAACATTATGGTGCATGACAGCCACCTACCGTGACTCACTGTCTGTAGGAGGAACCATTTTCGTGAACGGGGGTGGTGTACCTAATAAACTGGCCGGTGAGTGCATATGTATGCTGTTTACGTTCTGCATCCACGTCATATCGCTGAGTCCACCTTTTTAAGTATTTCTGGCTGAGACGCGTTTATCTCGTTTTTCAGTTTACAGTCTGATAATGTGGTTTATCTGCGCCAAACTTGGTACAAAACCACGCCCACGAGTAGCCTAGCAAAAGCCGCGCTGATTGGACAGCGAGTTCTGACGTTCCTCTTCAGGAAGTAAACACGAGAGCACAGCTCTTCGGTTTCGAGCTAGCTACATAGCTGCTATCAGATAAGAAAAGTGTGAGAAGGGTAACTTCTAGCGACATCAACAGACTGCTAAGCCATTGCTCGTCCAAAGCAATATTGATTTACCTCGCAGCCGTGACTGAAGATTGGCGACACTGCTGGAAGTATTTTCAAGCTATTAGCTAGCTAGTTTACATTAGCAAGTAGCTAACTAAACTAGTGTGCTGCGACTTGCATAACATCGACGGACAACCATCATCAACGATATTGCTAACTAACGTTAACCCTAACTAAAGGGGTTTCCCCTTTTTCAGTTGTGCTACCGTCGCTGCTCCAATATGCCTCGTGAGTGCGCTGTTAAAATGTGCGAAAACAAACAAAAGACTTGGTCGGCTCTAATGTTTCACCGACTTCCATTGAGTAATCCGGACCGATTGAAACTATGGATGGTTGCCCTGAACAAAGATGCTGATACTCCGACCGAGGACCTCAGAAAGTTACTAGTTTGCTCGGAACATTTTCTACCGGGGGACTATTATGAGAAGTTGGGACAGGACAGACATACGAGGATGAGAATCATGAAAAGTTTCCTGAAGGATACAGCGGTGCCATCAGTGGGCGTTCACACGCCAGGACAACGTGGAATAATGGCGGTAAGTGTAATTTAAATAATATCTGATTGATTGAATAGTGTTATTGTTCCTTGATAAATGACAAACTAGAGCGTAGGTTTAACAACTTTTAATAACCAGATGCTGGAACTACCAATGTAGCTAGCTATCAACCACTGCGTGCGTGGCGCATTGTATTATGGGTAGCGTAGTCTTCGTGTTTTTAACACACAACACAAATAAAAGCTGTTCTGATAACATTTCATAGGGCTGTCACTTTACTGGTGGACAAGCTGTTTCAGTGTCATTCGCTACCTTTGTGTGAATGCCCTCCTCAGAGCGCATACACACACACACACACACAGACGCACGCACACACACACACACACACAGACGCACACACACACAGACGCACACACACACACACACACACACACACACACACACACACACACACACACACACACAAGTACAACACCCACTTTTAGCCAAAGAATAGCCAAGTACAACAAAACGACTAAGTCAACTTTGTGCCATTTTTTTGGTGCCTTTATTCAGTTTCAAAGTCAAATAAATAATAGCATTTCCACATGCAACAGAAAGGAACCATGACTTAACTGTATAGTGTTAGCTAGCCTTCTAATAGATGACAGCATGCCACAAAAAGAGAACAGTTATTATAGGGAGAATATCAATCGCATTTCCTTGACTCCTTGTACTCTCGCCTCGCCCCCTTCTCAAAACCCATTGGATGAGGTCAGAGGGGAGGGACCTCTCATCACACCCAATGGGGTTTAAGAAGGAGGAGAGAATCAAGGAAATGCAATTGAGATTCTCCCACGGCCTTGTTCAAAGCCAAATTGATTGCATGCCTACACATGTTCTCATGTGTTTATTCCAAATGAATACGGACATTTCCTGGTCCCCGTCCCTTTCTCCCAGGTTGAGACAGGAGACGTGCCTCCAGCTGTAGACAATCCACCAGGTACAGACTCAGCATCTCCTCCAACCCCACAACAGAGCTCCGCCCATGGAGGGTCAGGTGTTGCTACGGCTACTGCAGGGTTCATCTCCCAACCGGGTCGTCAACAGACAGCGTCGGGGACAGAGCCTGCTCCAAGCTCTGGGACGTACGTGGCCCTGGCACTTAGGAAGGTAATGCTGTTGTTTTGCTATCATGATGTTCTGCTAGCTATTGATGGATAGTATGTTAATAGCCTTAAACCAGCCTTTGAACGGCTCATTGGGGCAGTAGCCTATCTCCTGTTTCTGTAGTGAGACAGCCTGATGTACCAGGACACCCCCTGGACAGGACACTAGTCTATCTCCTGTTTCTGTAGTGAGGCAGCTTGATGTACAGTACACCCCTGGAGCAGGACACTAGTCTATCTCCTGTTTCTGTAGTGAGACAGCTTGAATGTACCAGTACCACCCCCTGGACAGAACTGTCTCCTCCTTTTTTCTGTATGGACGCTTGTGTACCAGTACACCCCCCGGGAAAGGACACTTCATCTCCTTTTCTTAGAAGCAGCCTATGTACCTCCCCCCCTGGACGGGACCTAGTCACTCCTGTTTCTGTAGTAAACACCTGTTTTCCCAGAAAACCCCCCCGGACAGGACATATCATCCCCTGTTTCTTTTATGAGACAGCTTGATGTACAAAAACCCCCCCGGACAGGACCTAGCTTCTCCTGTTTCTTATGGACGCTTTTTTACATACCCCCCCTGGCCCGGACACTAGTCTATCCCCTTTTTTTGTAGTGAGACGCTTGATTACATAACCCCCCTGGACAGGAACAATCTATCCCTGTTTCTGATTGAACAGTTTTATTCCAGTACACCCCCGGGACAGGACACTAGTCTATCTCTGTTTCTTAGTGAGCCTTGATGTACCGTACCCCCCTGGACGGGACCTAGTCTATCTCCTGTTTCTGTAGTGAGACGTTTGAGTACCAGTCACCCCCGGGACGGGACATATCTTCTCCTTTTTTGTATGAGCAGCTTGAGTACATACACCCCGGACAGCATAGTTACTCCTTTTCTTAGTGAGACATTTTTGAGTCCCCGGGAACCCCCCCTGGACGGGCCCCAAAGTTATCTCCTTTTTTCTTTGGGAACAGTTGATTTACCATACACCCCCTGGACGGAAAATAGTCAATCCCTGTTTCTGTAGGAACAGTTTGATGTACCATAAAACCCCCGGGCAGGACACTGCTTCCCCTGTTTCTTGGGACATTGATGTCCCGTAACCCCCTGGACGGACACATCAATCTCCTTTTTCTGTAGTGAACACTTTATGTACAAACCCCCCCGGGGACGGACACGGGCTATCCCTTTTCTGTATGAGAACTTGTGTACCTCCCCCCGGGAGAGGACACAGTTTTCTCCTTTTCGTGGGAGACGCTTTGTCCGGGAAACCCCCCCGGGACAGAACCAGCTATTCCTTTTCGTAGGCACCCTGAGTACCATCACCCCCGGGAAAAGGACATAGTTATCCCCTTTTTCGAGTAAGACGCCTGATGTACCAGTAACCCCCTACGGACACTAGTCAATCTCCGTTTCTTAGTGAGACATTTGATTACAAACCCCCTGGACGGCACTGTCTATCTCCTGTTCTGTAGGAGACAGTTGATGTACAGTCACCCCCGAAGGACACTAGTCACTCCGGTTTTTCTGTGTGAGACATTGATGTACCAGACCCCCTGGAAGGCCTATCTATCTCCTGTTTCTGTAGTGGGGAAGTTAAATACCAGTACACCCCCCTACAGCACAGTCATCCCGTTTCGTATAAACGTTGAGGCCCAAGTACACCCCCCGGACGGGCCCTAGTCTATCTCCTGTTTCTTATGAGCGCTTGAGTACATCCCCCTGGAAGGACATAGTCACCCCCCCTTTTTTCGTAGTGAGACGCTTGTGTACATACACCCCCTGGCAGGCCCAGTCTTTTCCCGTTTCTGTATAGACAGTTTGATTTTACCTCCACCCCCGGACGGGAACCGTTATTCCGTTTCTGTAGTGGCAGCTTGGTACAGTACACCCCCTGGACGACACTAGTATACCCTGTTTCTGATGAGACGCTTATTACCGGGACACCCCCTGGAAGGCCTGTCTATCTCCTGTTTCGTATAACAGTTTGATGGCCCAGTACACCCCCCTGGACAGGACACTATCTTTTCCCTTTTCTGTGTGGACAGCTTATTACAGTACCCCCCTGGAGGACACTAGTCTACCTCCTGTTTCTGTATGGACAGCTTGATGTACCAGTACCCCCCCTGGAAGGACACTAGTCTATTCCTGTTTCTGTAGTGAACGCTTGATGCCCCATCCCCCCCTGGACGGACCTAGTCTATCTCCTTTTTTTTGATGAATAGCTTATGTACAGTAACCCCCCGGCGGGGCACTAGTATATCCCCTTTTTCTGTATGAGCCCCTTGAGTACCGGGACCCCCGGACGGACATATCTATCTCCTTTTCTGTAGGAGACCCTTATGTACCAGACACCCCCGGGAACGGACACTGCCCTTACCTCCTTTTCTGTTGGACCCCCTTGATGACCAGAAAACCCCCCGGACAGGACATAGTTATCTCCTTTTTCGTAGTGAGACCCCGATTCCCAGTCACCCCCCGGACAGGACACTAGTCTATTTCCTTTTTCTGTAGGGACAGTTTGTGTACGTAACCCCCGGGGCAGGAACTATCTATAAAAGGGCCCTGATGGATAAACTACGGTTATTGGGTTTGGGGCGATGCTGATTTTTTTTATGTTTTGCAAAAATTTTCCCCTCTAAGACTACAAGGGGGACGCATGCAAAGGAAAAAAAAAAACCCCAACTTTCTGTGGTATCTGTCTGGCTTTTCCCCTGCATTCTGTTGATACGCTTGTTTATTGGTCCGGCTCTTTCTGTTATACGCTTGATCTTTCCAGACTATTCAAAATATTTGACCTATTGGGTCCGACTCATTCTGTTGTACAGCTTATTTTGGCCCAGACTCTTCTTTATCCCGTTCGTATTGGCCAGACTCTTCTGTTGAAAAAGCTTCGTTTTGGCCAATCGGGGACCTTCATTGCATGTAACATGGGGATGGAAAGATAAAAAGGGCCCAATCCTTTATCGGGGGTGGAGAAGAAGCGGGTTAGGTAAGGTCTGTCTTAGCGTGCAGGAACACTTAAAAAAAAACGCTGCACACTGCTAGTAAGGGGCGTCTAGCGTAGCCCCTTCAAAAGGAAAACCTGCCCTATCTAGGAAAGGTGCTGTCACGTACAAAACACTTAAAAGGGAAACGCTGCACACTAGTTAGGAGGGGCTGTCTACGTAGAGAACCTTAAAAGGAAACGCGCAACTGTCTGGTAAGGTGCTTTCTCGTACGAACACTTAAAAAGGGGAAACGGCCACTAGTCTGGTAAGGGGCTGCTAGCGTAGCAAAACATTAAAAAGGAAAACCTGCACACTATTTTTGGTGCGTCTAGCGACGAACCTTCAAAGGAAACGTGCACACAGTCTAGAAGGGGCTGTCTCGTGCAGAACACTTAAAAAGGAAACCGCACACTATCTAGGTAGGTTGTCTAGGTAGCAAACACTTCAAAAGGAAACTGACACTGTCTGGGTAAGGGGGCTTTAGCGTGAAAAATTCAAAGGAAACGTGCACCCCCTAGTAAGGGCTGTTAGCGTAGCAGAACATTCAAAAAAAGCTGCCCTAGTCTAGGTAAGGGGTGTCGCTACAGAACACTTCAAAAGGAAACCCTGCACACTAGTCTAGGTAAGGGGCTGTCTAGCGTAGCAAAACCTTCAAAGGAACGCTGAAAAATAGTCAGGTAAGGGGCTGTCAGCGTGCAAACATTTTAAAAAGGAACCTGCACACTATCGGGTGGGGGGTTTCTAGCGTCAAAAACACTTAAAAAGGAACGCTGACACTAGTCTGGAAAGGGTGCTAGCGTGCAAAAACTTCAAAGGAAACCTGCACCTTCTAGGTAAGGTCGTCTACTAGCGAACACTTCAAAAGGAAAAACGCTGAACCATCAGGAAAGGTCTGTTAGCGTACAAAACCTTAAAAAGGAAACGCGCCCTAGTTTTGGGGAAAGGGCTGCCCGGTAGCAAAACCTTTAAAAAGGGAAAACGCTGCCACTAGTCGGGAAAGGGGTTCTAGCGTAGCAAACATTTAAAAAAGGGAACGCTCCACAGTCTAGGTAAGTGCTTCTAGCGTGCAGAAATTTTCAAAAGGAAAGCGCACATAGTCGGAAAGGGGCTTCTAGCTAGCAGAACCTTTTAAAAAGAACCGCGCCCCTAGTCTTAGGTGCGTCTACGTAGCAAAACATTCAAAAGGCGCTGCACACTATCGCCCCAAACGTTTCCAACCAAAGCTTCTTATCAGAGTGCAGTTTTTTCCCCCCAATTTCCCCTTTTCCTTTTAAACGTATATATTTTTTATTCTGTCAAATCAGGTGGAGCGCAGGAAGAAAGGCCGAATGGACACAGCCGTTAAGAAGACTGCAGTGAAGGACTGTGCCATATGAGGTCTGGGGGCTGCCAGCGATGCCAGGTCCCAGTGTCGCACGCCTTTCACCCTCCCCCCTCCCCTCCACCCGGGGGCCAGCTCTGCCCTAGTGTCCGGAGAAGTGGATGGAGGAGGATGGAGCGAAAGGAAGTGGATCGTGAACGAGTCGAAACTCAAGGAGCTTTTCCAGACGTGCCACCGGTGTGGAGCTGCCCTGCGCACGGCTAAACCGTTTTGGGGGTTCACCCAAAATAAAAGTCCCTGGTTTTGCCCCGACAAGCAAAAGGGGGAGAGTGGCAGTCAGTCTGTGTTTTTGGGTTTGGTCATACCTGCTTTTTTTGGGTTTTACAGTGGTGCGGATCCATGAGTATCATTTTTAAGTCAGACAAAGTATTTTTATTTTCTTTTTCATCTGGTAAAACAGGTCAAAGGACCCTTTTAACCCAGACGTGAAAATCCGTGTAGCAAAAAAAATTTAAAAGCTGGCGGGATTTCGTAGGGTTTTATACCAGGGGGGGGGGTTTTTGGGGGTGGTTATCCCCAGGTTTTGGGGGTTTTCAGTAGGTTTTAACCAGTTGGGTTTTTTTCAGTATGGTTATACCATTTTTGGGGATTTCATATTTTTTCCCCAGTTGGGGGTATTTCATAGGGTTATCCCGGGTTTGGGGTTTTCAGTAATGGTTATCCGGTTTGGGGTTTTCTAGGGTTAACCAGTTGGGGATTTCTTTGGGTTTACCATTTGGGGGTTTTCTATTATCCCCGGGTTGGGGGGTTTTTCGTAGGTTTACCAGGGGGGGATTTCGTATGTTATCCCAGTTGGGGGTATTTCCATAGGTTATACCAGGTTTTTGGGGTTTTTCAGTAGGGTTTTATCCAGGTTGGGGTATTTCTTTTGGTTTATACCGGGTTGGGGTTTTTCTATTTTAAAACGGGTTTGGGGGTATTTCATAGGGTTTAACCGGTTGGGGTATTTCAATGGTTATACCAGTTTTGGGGACTTCATAGGTTATACCATGTTGGGTATTCAGTATGGTTTACCGGGTTGGGGTTTTAGTAGGGTTTTATCCAAAAGGTTTGGGGTTTTTTCGTATGGTTATCCCCATTGGGGGGTATTTCAGTATTTTTTAACCTTTTTTGGGGTATTTCATATGGTTTCCCGTTGGGGTATTTCATAGGGTTTAACCATTTTGGGGTTATTTCAGTAGTTTATACCAGTTGGGTTATTTGTATTTTTTATACCGGGTTGGGGTATTTCGTAGGGGAAACCCCAGGTTGGGGTTTTTCGTATTTTTACCAGTTGGGTACTAGTGGTTAAAAAATAAACTGAGGAGGCTTGTGTGTTCTCCGCCGATATCTGTTCAGGACAAAATCAGGTCTAACAAAAAATTTTTTGTATAAACCTGGGTCAATTGGTGTGTGTGCACTTGTTGCTGTGCAGTAGGCTATTATCTGGCTATAATTACATGGTGTTCCCCAAAGGGGAACCTTTTCCTTAATGCCTATTTTTGACCAAAAGGCACCCTATTCCCTATTAGTGTCTTTTTTAACCAGAATGGCACCCTTTTCCCATATGGCCCTACTTTAGACCAGAAGGGCCCCCCTTTTCCCTATATGTCCTATTTTTAGCCAAAAAAGGGCACCCTATTCCCATTAGTGCCTTTTTAGACCAACTCTGGGGCCCTTTGTAAAAGTTTTGGCAAAAATGGGATTTGTGCCTTTGGGAACAGGCTATACCCCCTTAATTTCTCTTTGCACTTCTTTATAAGGGCCGATAACTCCTTTCCCGTCCACGGGTTTCCCTTGTCACACTTCCTTTTTCGCTCATTTTTGTTTCCCTTAACACTTTTGGTTTGGGTAAGTTTGAGGGAAAAGGATGGGGGGGGGGGGAGGATGGGGGCAGGAAGGGGCGGTGGGGGAGGGGAAGAGAAACGGAAGGGGGGGGGTGGGAAGAGAGGAGTGGGGGGAGGGGGGGCAGGGGGGGGGCGGTGGGGGGGGGAAGAGAGAAGACGAAAGGATTTGGTTTAGAGAGGGGGGGGGGGAGAGCAGAGAAACTTAGGGGGGGGGTTTTTTAAAGGGCTTTTAAAAAAAAAGAACTGGAAAGGGTTTTTGAAGGGGGCCCTTTTGGGAAAAGAGGAAAACTAAGATAGGGGGGTTGGAAGGGGCGGGGAGGAGGGAGAAGAAAAAAGCTGAAATGGGGGGGGGAAGGGGGGGGGTGGGGGGAAAAAACTTTAGAGGGTGGGGTTTTAAGGGGGTTTTTTAAAAAAACTAGAATTGGGGGTTAAGGTTTTTTAAAAAAAACAAGAATGGGGTTAGGATAGGTTTGGGGGGGAGAAGAGAGGAAAAAGGGGGGAGGAGGTGGGGGGGCGGGGGGCGGTGGGGGGGAGAGAAGAGCTGGGAAAAAGGAGGGGGGCAGGGGAGGGGGGGGGTGGGGGGGGGGGGGAAAAGGCGAGAAGGCGGGGGAGAGGATAACTTTGCCTGTATCTATTCCCAACAGACCATTCTTTCCATGATCCTGCCTCATGTTTGGAAATAACGGGACCCGGTTCCTGTCTGGGGCAGGTAACAAATTTCTACTTTTTCCGGGCACCTCCCCTTTCTCAAAGACTTTTTTTTGGAAGTTTTCCCAAAATTTTAGACCTCGTGGTGGTCAAAAACCCCCCCCCAACTCTACTTGTAGTCTATATTAATAGTGGAGGTCAAAAGAAGTTCCCTCACAGGAAAAATAAAGTTGATTCTATTCTACTGTATTCTGCTATACTCTATTCTTCTATAGTCTACTGTATTTTACGATATTCTATTCTACTATATTCGATTCTACTGTATTCTGCTATATTCTATTCTACTGTATTCTGCTATATTCTATTCTACTGTATTCTGCTATATTCGATTCTACTGTATTCTGCTATATTCTATTCTACTGTATTCTGCTATATTCTATTCTACTGTATTCTGCTATATTCTATTCTACTGTATTCTGCTATATTCTATTCTACTGTATTCTATTCTACTTTTCTATTCTGCTCTCTTCTACTATGTTCAACTCTACTGTATTGTACTATTATATTCTACTGTATTCTACTATTTGTATTCTACTGTATTCTACTATATTATACTCTGCTCTCTTCTACAGTATTCGACTCTATTCTACTGTATTCAATTCTACTATATTCTACTATATTCTACTCTTATAATCTACTCTTTTCTATTCTCTGTATTCTGTCTAAAACTCCTTACATTACTGACTATCCACTTGATGTTTAGTCTCTCCTTAGTAAGAGACAGGAAGTAGAGGGGTCTACTAACTATCCACTTGGTGTTTAGTCTCTCCTTAGTAAGAGACAGAAGTAGAGGGGTCTACTAACTATCCACTTGGTGTTTAGTCTCTCCTTAGTAAGAGACAGGAAGTAGAGGGGTCTACTAACTATCCACTTGGTGTTTAGTCTCTCCTTAGTAAGAGACAGGAAGTAGAGGGGTCTACTAACTATCCACTTGGTGTTTAGTCTCTCCTTAGTAAGAGACAGGAAGTAGAGGGGTCTACTAACTATCCACTTGGTGTTTAGTCTCTCCTTAGTAAGAGACAGGAAGTAGAGGGGTCTACTAACTATCCACTTGGTGTTTAGTCTCCTTAGTAAGAGACAGGAAGTAGAGGGGTCTACTGACTATCCACTTGGTGTTTAGTCTCTCCTTAGTAAGAGACAGGAAGTAGAGGGGTCTACTAACTATCCACTTGGTGTTTAGTCTCTCCTTAGTAAGAGACAGGAAGTAGAGGGGTCTACTGACTATCCACTTGGTGTTTAGTCTCTCCTTAGTAAGAGACAGGAAGTAGATGGGGTCTACTAACTATCCACTTGGTGTTTAGTCTCTCCTTAGTAAGAGACAGGAAGTAGAGGGGTCTACTGACTATCCACTTGGTGTTTAGTCTCTCCTTAGTAAGAGACAGGAAGTAGAGGGGTCTACTAACTATCCACTTGGTGTTTAGTCTCCTTAGTAAGAGACAGGAAGTAGAGGGGTCTACTGACTATCCACTTGGTGTTTAGTCTCTCCTTAGTAAGAGACAGGAAGTAGAGGGGTCTACTAACTATCCACTTGGTGTTTAGTCTCTCCTTAGTAAGAGACAGGAAGTAGAGGGGTCTACTAACTATCCACTTGGTGTTTAGTCTCTCCTTAGTAAGAGACAGGAAGTAGAGGGGTCTACTGACTATCCACTTGGTGTTTAGTCTCTCCTTAGTAAGAGACAGGAAGTAGAGGGGTCTACTAACTATCCACTTGGTGTTTAGTCTCTCCTTAGTAAGAGACAGGAAGTAGAGGGGTCTACTAACTATCCACTTGGTGTTTAGTCTCTCCTTAGTAAGAGACAGGAAGTAGAGGGGTCTACTAACTATCCACTTGGTGTTTAGTCTCTCCTTAGTAAGAGACAGGAAGTAGAGGGGTCTACTAACTATCCACTTGGTGTTTAGTCTCTCCTTAGTAAGAGACAGGAAGTAGAGGGGTCTACTAACTATCCACTTGGTGTTTTAGTCTCTCCTTAGTAAGAGACAGGAAGTAGAGGGGTCTACTAACTATTCCACTTGGTGTTTAGTCTCTCCTTAGTAAGAGACAGGAAGTAGAGGGGTCTACTAACTATCCACTTGGTGTTTAGTCTCTCCTTAGTAAGAGACAGGAAGTAGAGGGGTCTACTAACTATCCACTTGGTGTTTAGTCTCTCCTTAGTAAGAGACAGGAAGTAGAGGGGTCTACTAGACTATCCACTTGGTGTTTAGTCTCTCCTTAGTAAGAGACAGGAAGTAGAGGGGTCTACTAACTATCCACTTGGTGTTTAGTCTCTCCTTAGTAAGAGACAGGAAGTAGAGGGGTCTACTAACTATCCACTTGGTGTTTAGTCTCTCCTTAGTAAGAGACAGGAAGTAGAGGGGTCTACTAACTATTCACATTGGTGTTTAGTCTCTCCTTAGTAAGAGACAGGAAGTAGAGGGGTCTACTGACTATCCACTTGGTGTTTAGTCCTCTCCTTAGTAAGAGACAGGAAGTAGAGGGGTTTACTAACTATCCACTTGGTGTTTAGTCCTCTCCTTAGTAAGAGACCAGGAAGTAGAGGGGTCTACTAACTATCCACTTGGTGTTTAGTCTCTCCTTAGTAAGAGACAGGAAGTAGAGGGGTCTACTGACTATCCACTTGGTGTTTAGTCTCTCTTTAGTAAGAGACAGGAAGTAGAGGGGTCTACTAACTATCCACTTGGTGTTTAGTCCTCTCCTTAGTAAGAGACAGAAGTAGAGGGGTCTACTAACTATCCACTTGGT